CTGAACATCCGAGATGTTAATCTCCTGTTCTGCCACATCCCAAAGGTGCTCTGTTGGATTGTGGACTGTAGAGGTTATATGAGAACAGTCAACTCACTATCATGTTTGAGATTATTTGAGCTTTATTTTATTCTGTTGGAAGCAGCTATCAGAAGATGGGTATCCTGTGATCATAGAAGGATGGACATGGTCAGCAGCAGTACTCAGGCATTCAAACAATGCTCAGATGGTACTAAGGGCTTAAGAAAATACCCCCCACACTATAACACGACCACCAGCCTGAACAATTGTTACAAGGCAGGATGCATCCATGGTTTTGTCTTGCTTATGCAAAATTCTGACCCAACCATCCAATGAACGTCCAAGCAAAACTGGTGACTCAAAAGACCAGATGACATTTTAAAAAATGCGTAACATGGGTAAACGCAACTCATTAATGAGCACCTGAAGAGGTCTGTCTAATGAAATGGCCAGTGAGTGTATGCCTTTGTGTAGAACTGAGCCAATAAGTCAGTTTAGTCAATTTTTAGGAGAAAAATGGTTAAATGTCAAAATTTTGATTTACAGGCACCAAGCTGTCCCAGGCAAAGAAGTTTAATGACCCTGATGACCCCTGCAAGATTCTGGTTGCTACAGATGCTATAGGCATGGGGCTTAACCTGTAAGTGCAAAACATACTTTATGGAATATTTTTAGAGCCATATCAATCTTTTTTTTTCTTTCTCTTTCAAGTGGTTGCATGCTTTCTGCCATATAGGATATTGTTCATCTGTGTGCTTACCTTTCTGTTTTACTTCACCCTACCGCCCCTTCTCTCTCTCCAGGAGCATAAAACGCATCATCTTCAACAGTCTGGTGAAGCCTAACGTTAATGAGAAAGGGGAGAAACAGATGGAGACCATCAGCACTTCTCAGGCTCTGCAGATTGCTGGCCGTGCTGGGAGGTCAGCCTCCTTTGATACAACAATGCAGACAATCCCTTTGAGCTTCTGTTAGGCCACTATATTAAACTCCATCTTCTGCCACCTGTTGCAGGTTCTCCTCCAAGTTTAAAGAGGGAGAAGTTACAACCATGCACAGAGACGATCTCCCCGTGCTCAAAGAAATACTCAGTCACTCTGTCGATCCTATAGAGGTGATCATTTTACACACAAACACAAAATCTACTTTCAGCATTCCTGCAATAACAAATCTTTCTCATTTTATTCTCCAATTTATTGCCTCAGACTGCAGGACTCCATCCAACTGCAGAGCAGATAGAGATGTTTGCTTACCATCTGCCCGATGCAACGCTGTCCAACCTTGTTGTGAGTAGAGCCACTCGTTTAGTGATCAGTGCGAGAATTGAAATGTTCATTATAGACCTTCAAACAGCAGAATAAAAAATAAAAACGGGGGAAAGATTTGTAGTTTTCCAGCTACATTTCATGGTCTTCATCAGTGAGTAGAGTTTACTGAGACGGGTTAAATAGTTGGTAATGTGGTAAAATAAAGCCTGAGCAGTCTTTAGATTGAAACAGAAGCTGGTATTTTACTGTAGTGTGAATTTTTCAGGAGCTGCATGTTTTTATTTGGGACTGTTAGTCGCTGTTTTTTTTCCTCAACAGTTTGTGAAACCACCTGAAAAAGTCTGTTTAAGTCTGGTTAAGACTTAAGATCTGAAATGCCTAAATGTAAACAAATACAACTGACTGCTGCATGTATCCTTTCTATATTACACTACATGAAATCATTTGATAAAAGAACATTTTCATGACAAAACTGTTGTCATTTTTTAGTAGCATAAAAGTATTTTTACGCGTTAACGCAGATTTATCCGGCATCACAGTCAACGCGATTAAAAGTTTTAACTGCATGCGCATTTTTAACCTGTGCTAAAAGATTGAAGAAAACTATTCAAATTCTCTTTTTAAGCACACATTCTTTGTTTATTCTGCATTTACTTCATTATATTGCATAAATGTCAGTTACAAGCTTAAATATGACGTTAAAAGAAAAGTAATTGCAACCAGGCTATTGATCAAGTAATTGCGATTAATTGCAAAAAACTGTGCGATTAATTAGTTAATTTTTCTTAATCTATTGACAGCACTAATATTTTCAGTTTCCCCTTTGTAGCAAAAATGAAAGTTAAATATTGTTTTGTGTTTCAGCGCAGACCCGCTAAAACTAAAAGCAAAGGATCGTCATTAGTTTATTTCTTTATTATTTTTTGAAGACGCTAATAGCTAACTTTCCTTTTTAAAGTCCAGCATGCGTGCTGAAATGATGACGCAAAATGCACCCTAATACAAATGTGTTTAAGCTGTGAATGGGTACATAAAGGAAAATGCACGTTTTGTATTTCAGTTTTACTGTTCGACATTTTAAAGCCACGTCTTATTCAAGATTGTAAATGCTCTCGTTCTCTCGCCCCCTTCTCAGGACATATTCGTCAGCCTCTCTCAGGTGGACGGTTTGTATTTTGTTTGCAACATTGACGACTTTAAGTTTCTGGCGGACATGATTCAGCACATACCGCTTAACCTGAGGTCACGCTACGTCTTCTGCACTGCTCCCATCAACAAAAAGCAGCCTTTTGTATGTACCTCCTTCCTTAAGGTGAGTGAGTGGATGTAAACATTAGAAGGCTGCAGAGATTTAAGGTTAATGGTGGAAGGACAGGAGTGAGCAGTAGAGGGTGCTGATGAGGAGAGTAAAAATGATGAAACGAGGGTAAGGAAGTTGACCCAGTGAGGCATTGGTGTAATAACCCTCCTGTCACACCTGATTCTTTTTATGGTCTTATCAAACTGATAAAACAAGAGTAGATAAAATTCCCATGAATGAGCAACCTTTGAGGTTAAGGGTTAAGTTCTGCGTATTTCTATTGTTCATGTGTGCTAAGGCTCCGAGTATTTAGTTTAGAGCAATAGCGATGCACCTATAGAAGGTAATTTGGTTCTGTAAATAAAACTGTGATCAGATAATAAATACTAAAACTGTGTTCAACACAAATAAAGTATACGTTTAACATTTACTTTATTATCTGAGTGTGTACAGCATGTCATCTGCACTGTTGATGGATCAATCATGTTTCTTCTCCAGTTTGCCCGTCAATTCAGTCGAGACGAACCCCTGACGTTTGACTGGGTCTGTCGCCAAATCAGCTGGCCTCTGGCTCCACCTAAAAACATTAAAGACCTGGTTCACCTGGAAGCTGTCCATGACGTGTTGGATCTCTACCTCTGGTTAAGGTAGCTTTATATTTCCACCTTTGGCAAGTTGCCTCACCTGTTTTTATGCCTTTTTAATATGCGATCACGATGTGTTTGTTTGTATGAACTCTTCTTTGTTGTCGTAATTTCCAGTTTTGCCATATTAATCCTCTTTATCTGTGTCTACGTGCCTCCGCAGCTACCGTTTCATGGACATGTTTCCAGATACTGCCTCAATTAGAGAAATCCAGCGGGAACTTGATGATATCATCCAGCAGGGTGTGCGAAATATCACCCGGCTCATCAGAGCCTCTGACACAACAGTCACTGACCCACTGCAGGCGCAGAGCAACAGGCATGGCCAGACAGGAAGGGGAACTGGCAGCACAGATTTTTTGACTGGAAGCAGAGGTCAAAGGGGACAGAGAGCCTCAGGACAGATGATGGACAGCTCTCTGGCTAGTCGTCTGGTGAGAGACGGGCTGTTGACGCCCGATTTGCTCCAGCAGCTGCAGAGGGAATGGTCTAAAGATCAGAAGCAAGACAACAGCAGTCAGAGGGCACTTGATCTGGAGCATCAGAGTAATAACAAAGGGAAAAAGAAGAAATGAAGAACCGTTTCATTTTGCTTCAGTGAAGAGCAAAAAACTGACATCAGCATTTGTTGATGTTTTAAGCATTTAAGACAGATGTGAGAACTCCTTCTAGCACTGAAAGTATCCCAGTAAGCTTTGACCTCCAGCGTTAAAACTAAAAAAAACCACCTTGTTCCTGTGCTACAGATCTAACCAAATGTTTTCTTCCATTCAACAAATGTACAAACTCACTAAAGCTGGAAAATGTTTCTAGCTCCAGTCTCTCTGTCTATGAAGGATCAAGTGTCTGTGAGAGATGTCCTCTTTGTGAAACCAATAACTGACAGACATCATTGTCAAATGTGCTGTTTCAGTAGCATTTTTGGCACCAGAAGACACTGTAGTTCATTAAATGCTGGAAGTTTTCTCAGTTGTCAGACTCTAACACGTAATTTCTATGAATGTTTCTTTAACTGTGGGAAAAAAGTGAGAGCTTGAACTGGGTGCAGGCCTGTTATTCAGATAAAATGTCATATTTTGCTCTTTTTTTTTTTGTATGCGTGAAATGATATGATAGTAAACAGTATTTTAAATGCGTTGATGTTTGTAGTGTTCTGTGTCAATGTGATTTGCAGCTCATGCAAGGGGAAGGAAACAAAAAGAGCCTGAAGGTTTTCTAAAATGGGGTTTTACTGCAACATAATATATACTGTCTCCTTTTTAAAAATATATTTATTACCAAAATATACAGTGCATACATGCAGTTTGTGTATTTTATAATAGATTTATTATTTTTTGCATTATTAATTTGTCTTACAAATTTGTCTAATGAGGCCAAGGTGCATCACTTACATTGCACCGCAGGGGGGATTTCAAATATTTTAGTTTCCTAAAATCTTCAGTTCAAAGTTTAGGAAAAGTCACTCGAGCAACTATGACGAAAACACTAAGCAAGCCGGTATCTGACACATTAAAGGAAATGATTGTAGAAAGGAGGTTGTGCTTGCTGTTAATCATTGAATTGGTGCAGAGGCTGGTATCTGCTCAGTGGACTCAGCAAGAGACAATGAGAGCACAAACGTAAAGAGAAATAACACCTAGCAGAGTGGAAAGGATCGGGGGGGAAAACACATTTTTCCTCATTTTAGTGAAGTGTGTTCACCTGTCACGCACGCTGACAGTATCAAAGAATAGCTGGAAGACTTTGTGGTGATTCTTATCAGTGAAGATGTTGGCTGTTCATCTCATTTCCTTCTTTTTCTCCAAACTCCAGGAGGACCCCACAAAGAAGGTGAGTGCTACACACACAAACACAAGTCTGTTTCAAACAGTGCATATAATTAATACAGCCCTGGTAATGAGGGGGTTTGAAGCTCTACAGTTAAAGTCTTCTCAGTTATGAAAGTGTAAGCTGCTAATGCACTGAATTTATGCTCTTGATTGGAAATCGTATTTTAAATGCAACTCTACTCGCTACATTAATCATCAGAGATATATTTGCCACCAATGACAAACTTACTCTTCTAATGTGTTGTTTCCTGATTTACTTCTTAGGCAGTTCTATCAGGATTTATCCAGAAAGAGAAAGTGATTAAAAGAAGGACAAATCTCTGATGATTTCTTTGAGGATTTGCAGAAATGCACGTGACTAAAATTAAGTCAACGAGACATGGCAGAAGTCAGAGTAATATAAATGATCAAGGTGAAATGTGGGATCATTAGTCACTGTGTCACCATTTATCTTTATCTGAACAATCATTAACAACTTTCCCTGGCAGTGTCGCTGCTCCTCTTAGTCGCACATTGGATCGCACATTTTCACCCGGGACAAAGTATGGACACTCCTACAATCACACTGTCCTCGCTCACGCTACACTCACACTCTGGCTCTTATATCGTAAAACCTCAGGGTGTTGTCCTATGAGCACATGCTCCACGGCGACGGTTCAGCTGTGAATACAGCACACGGGGTGTGGCTGATGATCTTCAGCTTTTTTGTTTTGTACTACTTCCTAACTCATTTACAGAGACAGTTTGGCATGTTGAGTTACTGTTACAACATCACTGAGTTTCAAATTCAGATTATTAACCCCAAAATTCAAAACATATGTGAAAAGACATCAGATACATGAAAAAAATCCTTCATATCTGAAATACAAGAAAAAAGTTGCTTTTTTAAACTTTTTCTCTGTTGATCAGATGTTCAAATTGATTCTGGTGAATTTTGATATGTAATATTATAAAGCTGTGATGAGGCATGTAACAGTAACAGAGGATATAAAAAGAAAAGTAACTGAATGAGAGAAGCAAAACTAGTCTGACACCTAATAAGAAAGTCCACAAAATACAAATGAGAGAGAGAGAAATATACATTTTTCTCTCTTTCATCCCTTCTTGTTCGAGTGAAAATCCAGCGGTACATCTCACTTTGTTTTGCTCTCTGTGTTCTGTGTCTCTTTCAGGTCGACAGGTTTCTGCATGCAATGCGCCTCCATGATGACCAGTTAATTGATATCTCAGCTCGTTTCCAGGCTGAAATGAAGAAGGGGCTCTCAGCTGAAAGTTCGGCCGCTGCAGCTGTAAAAATGCTGCCGACACATGTCCGCTCCACTCCTGATGGCTCAGGTTACTCGTGTTAATGTCCCTTTTATTAGGGCTGCTGGGCAGATCTTTAAAAAAAAGAAGAAGAAGACTGCCATTGTTTTGAAGTAAAAGCAAGAGATTAAAGATCTTCCTTCTCTTTCAACCACTCTTGCAGAGAAGGGACAGTTTCTGGCACTGGATCTTGGAGGCTCCAAGTTTAAGGTGCTCCAGGTTAAGGTGAGAGAGGGGATGGGGGTCAGGAAGGGAGGAGTGGAGATGGAGGAGAAGATATACCCTATGTCAAAGGAGCTGCTCAATGGGAGAGCACCAGAGGTAAGAATAAAAAGATCTGAAAGTAGATTCGAGGAGAATTCAACAAGCAAGAAGAAGAGATTTGAACTTCTCCCACTTCATTGTCTTTGTGTATGTAGTTATTTGACCATGTGTCAGAATCTCTGAAGGACTTTCTTCACGTAAAGAACATCAGTCTGGATAAGAAACATCCTCTGGCATTCACTTTTTCCTTCCCCTGCGAACAGACCCGCTTGGATAAGGTATGACTCTCTACATCGAGACATCTGGTTTTCATGAGCTGTACCTGTAGTGTGTTATACTCCACATGCTGACATCTGTCTGTCTTTTTAGATTTAGATCCCATAATCCTTCGAACCACTTTTTTCCTCTTGCAGGGATTACTGTTGAGCTGGAGTAAGAACTGCCGGGCTCGAGGCCTTCAGGGGAAAGATGTGGTCCAGGCTCTCAGAGAGGCTATTGACAGAACTGGGGTGGGTTGCCAGTGTTTGCTTCCATAATTTACCCATAAACTATCTGCAGAAACCGAGACATGATGAGAAATCTAACGTAAGATGAAGTGGAAAAATAAAGAGTTGAACCCATCTGATACCCACTATGTAAACTGAACAGTATAACCTGGTTTATCTCTTTGATAACGCCCTCTGCAGGGAATGGACATAGAAGTGTTAGCGATGGTTAATGATACTGTGGCGACAATGATGACCTGTGGTTTTGATGATCAGTACTGCGATGTAGGGCTCATCATTGGTAAGTAGATTCACATAATTCAACTAGTCTCTTGTGTCCTTTTACAGAAACTATTGTTTTGTATGAGTGTGACATGTACATGAGCAGCCATCACTCTAAACTTCTTCTGTAGTTCATTTAAATAAGCATAAAGTTATCCAGTGTTCAGTAAAACAAAGCAAATGTTCTGCATTAAAACTAGAAAAAGCTTGAAACCAAAATTCTGTATTATAAATTAGGTTTTATTCTGGTTTCTTTTTTATCTAGTGAGCCTTTGGAGCCCTTACGATTGATGCATAATTATCTAAACATAGCTAATAGATATTATCTAATCAAAGATAACTGCATATTAGTGACAGAAAATAGTGCTGACTGTAAATGCAAAAGGCATCAATAACTCTGATTCTGCAAATCTACTCCAAACTTTGTGTTTTAACTTTTGCAAAACACGTTTAAATATTTTTAGATTAATTCTTATTTATGTTTTTTGTGCAAACACATGGAAACAATGACAATATTTTGCAAGAGAAGACAAAGCACACTTACCCATAGTCATCTTGCTCCCTCTGGTGGTTTGCTGTGCATGTGTGGATATTGAATTAGATGTGAAGTATAGACATATAGAACCATTAACGTATCCTGTTTATTGTAGTAATCTTAATGGAATAAGTCTATGTATCCTGTGTGTTTGGGTGCTTACAGGCACAGGCACCAACGCGTGTTACATGGAGGAGCTGCGTCATGTTGACCTGGTGGAGGGAGACGAGGGCAGGATGTGTGTGAACACCGAGTGGGGAGGCTTTGGAGACGATGGGGCCCTAAATGATTACATAACAGAGTTTGATCAGGATGTTGATGCAACCTCTATCAATCCTGGAAAACAAATGTAAGGAAAGCAGCTTTGTCTTTTCTTTTGATATAAAATAATGTGTCCATTAAGACGTCCTTCATTTCTTTATGACTTCCAAAGATACATTTGAAATAGGTGCAACTTTCTTAGGGAAGTTTTCTTGTAATTTCTTAGAGTAAGGGATAGTTCTCCAGGCTTCTTGGAGGACTTTTCTTTGGATGATGGCTGCCTTTTGTTCTGCCAAGAAGATCACACACTGCTTCAGTAATGTTAAGGTCTGGGTTCTGGGGAGGCCAGTCCATGACTGATACTGTCCCAAGTGGGAGTGTGTTTGGGATCATTATCGTGCTGATAATCAGACAGATGCCAATCAGAATCTTTCCTAATGTTATTGCATGGTGTCAAAATCTGATCTGATGGTATTTTTCTGTATTTGTAATCCTCCACGCAGCCTGCTGAAATGCAATCCCAAGCAATGACAGGCACCACCTTATTTTACAGATGGCTATAGACACACACTGTTGTACCTTTCTTCTGATCATCTCCATCCAGCTTCACAATTAAACCAGAACTTTCAAATTTGGATTACTCACTCCATAAATCCTGTTGATACTAATTTTCAGTCCAGTTTTTGTGTATTTTGCCATACGTGACTTTTGGATAATGTTCTGGATAATGTAGATTTAGCATTCATGCTTTTTTTTTGTCCTCCACTTGTCCAGTTTCCAGTTTTCTTAAGGACACACTGCACATCGTGCTGAGAAATGCCAGCTTTTCAGTTCTAGCTGTTTGGGTCTCAGCTTCTTGGTTCAATATTACCATTTTATGCTTGTCAACCTGTGGCATTTTGGGGATTTTTCATAGATTCAACTAATTAAATGGGAAATAGTTTTTTGTGACAGGCTAACAAACGGCTCAATTTAAAATTGGTTACAAAGCGCCGTTTCATCCCTTCAGTTAGGTGTATTTTTAATGCTTGAACAAATGTCCATTGTTGGCTTATCAAACTGGGAAAAAAAACATTAATTGAAAAAGTGTCTGATACAAGGACGGGACTAAAAAGTGAAAAAGCAACGAATATCGAAAGAAAAACTCTGAAGAGCTTTCAGAAATGAGTGGCTTAAGATGTTTGCTCAGTACTGTAGAACTCTGTATAAACCTTTTACCCTTTTCTGGTCTATTGTAGCTTTGAGAAGATGGTCAGTGGGATGTATCTGGGTGAGCTAGTGAGGCTGGTTGTGTTAAAGATGGCTAAACTGGGACAGCTGTTTGATGGACTCGTGCCTGATGCCCTGAGGACCAAAGGGAAGATAACCACAGCACACGTGGCAGCCATGGAGGAGTAAGCTGTCTTTATCTCTCTTGGTCACCTGGCATCTGTCCAAAAACAGCATGAATGCCATAAATATTCATTTGTCTCAGGTACAAAAATGGTCTGAAGAACACCAGAGATATTCTCGTGGAGCTCGGTTTGAACCCATCACAAGATGACTGCATTGCTGTTCAACACGTCAGCACCATCGTGTCCTTCAGGTCCTCCAATCTGGTGGCCGCGGGGCTGGCTGCCATCTTAACCCGAATCAAGCAAAACCGGCATTTGAGGGCATTGAGGATCACTGTGGGAGTGGACGGAACTGTGTACAAGACACATCCGCAGTAAGTCAGTGTGGAAATCACTCAAACCCATATTAGTTTACAACTACTGAGATTAATAAATATGTAACTGATAAAACACAAAAAGAGCCAGTACTCTCAACAGTCCTCTTCCTTTCTAACTATGACTAATGGCTGCTGTAAAAAGTTGCTGATATTTTAAAAAAAATCCAAAATAAATAAAAGTTTGAAGCAAAATCAATCAAACGTCACTGACAAAAAGCCTTGAGTAGAAACTAGGGTTAAGCAATGGATTAAATAAATGACCAAAGACATAAGCTGTTAAATGATTGGGGTAAATTTGTCACACGTGAGTTTAACCTAACATCAACCACACAGTACCACAGCTCAGCACTGCACTCACCACTCACACACAATGAGAATCCTCATGTGCACAATTTGACCTCAACTATAGGCTGTAAATAAAAGATGGACTATTCTGGCTCTGTGGAATTGCCTTAATCTCTCTGATGGCCAGCAGTGGATAAAAAGAAGTCAGCCTGTATAGAAGCCTATGGAAAACCTGCTGTGGCTTCTTTGCTCTTTGACCTGAGGTCTCAGTCATGGTTTTAGCATCTCAGCATCCCAATCATCACTTTCAGTGAGTGAAGAAAATCCCGACAAGGCTTGAAAAACTGAACTTTGGAATCCAGTGGATGATGTGTATGATAGTGATGCCCTGATCACCTCTGATAAAGTCAGCGAACCCAACACAACAAACAGGGCCTTGATGAAGAGTTTGGACATAACAGCATCATGTCCTCTCTTACTTGATGAGCTGCAGATCACTAATATAAATACTTCTTAACAAACATCTAAAATAGCCTGATGAAATATCGAATGTTTTGTGTTTCTGTCACTTCTATTCCAGGTATGCTAAACGTCTCCATAAGGTGGTGCGCCGGTTGCTTCCTGAGTGCCAGGTTAGATTCGTCCTCTCGGACAGCGGCAGCAGCAAAGGGGCTGCCCTGGTAACAGCAGTTGCCCAACGCTTGGCATCACGGAAGAGACAGGTTAGAGCGCTGCAAGTTGTATGTCTGTGTTTGTGTGATTCTTCACAGGTGAAATAAAAAAGAAGGGCTTAAATATCTGATAAACAGTATCTCTGGTTTTCCAGGTGGATGAGACACTGGCTCCCTTCAAACTGAGTCAAGAGCAGCTCCAGTTGGTCAAGGCCACGATGAGAGCAGGGCTGGAGGCAGGGCTAAAGAACAAAGGCCCCTCAGCAGTTAAGATGCTGCCCTCTTACGTTTACCATACACCTGATGGCACAGGTCAGAGACAAACGCTGACGTTCTTACAGGCCTCTTAATCAAACCCAAACAGCAGCTACACAATCAATACATTCAGCGTCACCTCTAGCTTTTGCAAAGATGTAACTGCTTTGTTAAAAACTTTTTTAGGAAGTTTGTATTTTTAAAATATAAACAAAGATCATAATTATTATTTTTTTAACCAGAGCGTGGAAAATATCTTGCTTTGGATCTGGGAGGAACCAACTTCAGAGCTATGCTGGTCAAATTCAAGAAAGGCCTTCAAAACAACACACGGCTTTACCATAAAATCTACACTGTACCGCTGGAGATAATGCAGGGAACAGGAGAAGAGGTGAGAAACATGCATATACCGTCAGCACCCTGACAGAAAGCATCAAACTGGGTTTAGTCATTAAGTAATTAAATTAATTATAAGAAGTTGTACACTGCTGACAGTGTTGTCTAAATGGGGTAGGGTTGAATTCTTCTAAAACAGAACTGAAAATCTAACACACAGTTTGTTTGTTTTTCTCTCTCTCTGTTTGTCTCCAGCTGTTTGATCATTTAGCACAATACGTGAGTGACTTCCTGGACTACATGGGGATGAAGAAAGCACATCTTCCAGCAGGCTTCACCTTCTCTTTCCCCTGTGAGCAGACGGCCATTGACACGGTACGTCAAAATCGTTTGTTGCAGCCACAGAAAACCTGGCTGCACCTTATTTTACAGTGAAGCAGTAAAACACAATAAGCTAGACTTTGTATCAAAGTGGTTAAATTAGAAATAGTATG